CTCTGATTGGTTGTTTTGTTCAGGAGCGATTGGAGGAAATCGATCTTTTCACAGATTATCTATCTTATATTAAACTGTCACAACATGGTGAGAATTTTAACAAATATGTTAATTTGTTTTTTTTTAGCCAATAACACTGCTTTATGGTGATTCTTGTATTATAAATTTGTTTGTGATCTTCATGTTTTCTAATGTTTTTTGAAAAGTAAGAACCCTCAGATAAAATGGTAATTACAAAATAAAAATAAATGAACTGAAATGCACAGAGGAAGAACTGCTGGTCCAGGATTCATGTTACAGCAACTCTTTGCTTTTAGCTTCTTAAAATGTTCTGCTTGTTTTTAAAACCTCCTGAACAGGTCCAACCTTTTCAAATGTAAGCTCAAAAAATGAAAACTTTGAGCTTGACAACTTTGAGCTTGACATCATATTACAACAGATTAGCTGTCATGTTACACAAACACCATGTTTCACATCACTGCACATCTCATGATGAAGAAAGAAAATGCAGTGCATGGCTGATGCTGCAACAGCTCTACGGGAACGACTGGATGGTAAATGACGCCCCTGGGAGAAGTGCAAATTGGGTCTGCAGTTTCCTATCAGGTAAAAATGTATGAAATGTGTTTTGAACTATCTCTGCAAACAAGACTTGTGTTTCTGTTCTTACGTTTTCTTCAAAACCAAACCCTGGAAAAGAGCCAAGTAGCAACACAAAGTCCATATTGACTTTGGAAATGATGAAGCAGGAATTGTACAGCCAACAATCTTGAAATCTTTCATGTGAGAAATCAGTCGTTCAATGTGCACAATGTGTGTCTTGCTATTTTGTCACTTAGTGCAAAATCAGGCTGAGACAAAAGGTTGTGTTTCAGGACAGACCAGGGTGTTATCATTATTATTATTATTATTATTATTATTATTATTATTATTATTATTATTATTATTATTATTATTATTATTATTATTATTATTATTATTATCATTATTATTATTGTTGTTATTGTTATTATTATTATTATTGTTGTTGTTGTTGTTATCATTAGTAGCAGAAGCTGCGCGCGCAGCAGCGAGTTTATCTCCGGTTTGTGTCCAGACTGAGGAGCAGCAGCTGTTTCCACATGGAGAAGATGATGACTCAGCGTTTCCTCCATGATGAAAGGAGGATTTCTCCTACGCTGGAGGGAAACTCACAGATTCTCCACAGCAAAATACGCAGATAAATATATTTAAAAAATAAATAAATAAGAGACCTGGTTATATTTGAGCAGATTCAGGTTCTGCTTTTTTAATCGTCAAACTCTAATCTGAGTTCAGGAAACTCGTAAAAACATGCTGACTCAGGAAAAGTGGGGAAACTTTGTGAGCACAGAAGCCGAGGATGAAGCCGATTTGCTTTGGGCTTCATCCTCCTAAATGTGCGTCTGGCGGTTGTTTCTGCTGCTGCTGATGAACAACCGAGTTTTCCTTCACCGGAGCAGAGAAGGTCGAGGAGAAGCTGCAATATTTCCTCAGCGAGGAAATGTCAGGCGACTCAGAGCCACTCATCCTTTATTTGATACTCTTCAATTATTCACATCATTATTGAGCCACTGCACTAGAAACATACCAGCATGATAGAGCTCATCCTTAAGAATAATTAACTAACAGATTTATGCATAAATGCACTGCAAAACAAAACATTCTGGTTGTTTAGCTGCTTCATTCATTTGAGGAAACCGATTACAAAGAGATTCCTGAGATTAAAAGCTGGAAAAATTACAAATTTTTAAAATTAATCTAAAAAATTAGAGAAAAAACATGGAAATGTTTGAGTTTCAAAACATTTTTTAGAATAGAAATAAACTGAAATTTGGAGATCAATCTCAGATTTTAATCATTTTTTATCTGAGTTTGAAAGTTAAGTCTAGATAAATGTTTAAAAAATGTAGAAATTAGTTTCTTATTTTTGACTTTGCAAAAGATTGTTTACATTTTTGTTTTTTCCAACTCATACATTTCCAAGTATTTTTTCTAAAAGCTTTCTGAGAGTAGACTCAACATGTTTTTGTTTTCCTAGAAAACTTTTGACTTTTGAACCAATTTTTAAATTTTTACATTTTGGAAATTTCAAATCTTCACAAATTTTTGACTTTTTAAGTAACTTAAAAATTCTTTAGAACATTTTTCACATTTCAAACTCATATTTCCAATTATTCTCTAAAATTTCTGAAATAAATGTAAAATTTTCCAGCAAAAGTTTGACTTTTCAAACTCTCTCCAAGGTCTTTGGGATATTTAAGAGATTAATCTCAGAAAAATCTCAAACTTTCTGAGATGAATCTCAATCTTTGGGCTTTTTGGCAGAAATGTTGTCTTTTCTACCTGCAGACAGTGGCTCTAACGGCCCCGTCAGTTATGGGGCCGATATGCAACCGCAGCAAAATGCTGAGTCTGTAAAAGTCGTTCATTCAACTCCATCTTTCAAACCAACACATAAAACCAGAATAAGATTCTTCCTGTTCAACAAGCATCCAAACCCAATTACAGGCGCTGAATAATTAATCCAGATGGCGGCTGATGTAATGAGGACATTCGTCATCCGCTGCCGGACCTGAGGAAAGTATTTCTGCTCGACACTCAAAGTGGAGTTGTGTCCCAACTGGGTCCCAGTTCCTCCCAGTTCCTCTCTGACTGAAGCGTCACCTGCGTCCAGGTGAGTCCAAACACAAGCTGCAGTCCTGAAGGCGCCCGCCGTTATGCAGCCGCTGCTTTGACATTAGAAACATGTCGATAAAAAAGAGGAAACGCGTCGGTCACTTCCTGTACCCTTTCAGAGAGGTTGCCAGGGTAACTGCGCCTTTGTTCAGGGTCTGCAAAGGGAAAGGTCTCATTTTGCTGCTCGCATTTCTGCATTTTCCTGCATGAAGAACTGCGACCACAAGCCGAGGTCTGACTGACTCGGACCGGAGCAGAGCAAACCCACTGACCCGTCTCTGGATCACTGGGTTTTATTGGCTTTTTATCATTATTGCTGTTTTCTGCAGATGCAGTTATAAAAACCTGGAATCCGTTGCACTTTTATGCAAAATAAGTCAGATTTATCATTAAGCCGATTTTAAACAAACAGAATGAACCTTTGCTGAGAGATGCTTTAAATTAACACTGATGATTTATTTAATCTTTTTCCTTAAAACAGCTGATTATATGACAGACAGATAGATAGATAGATAGATAGATAGATAGATAGATAGATAGATAGATAGATAGATAGATAGATAGATAGATAGATAGATAGATAGATAGATAGATAGATAGATAGATAGATAGATAGATAATAGATAGATAGATAGATAGATAGATAGATAGATAGATAGATAGATAGATAGATAGATATAGATAGATAGATAGATAGATAGATATAGATAGATAGATAGAATAGATAGATAGATAGATAGATAGAGATAGATAGATAGATAGATAGATAGATAGATAGATAGATAGATAGATAGATATAGATAGATAGATAGATAGATAGATAGATAGATAGATAGATAGATAGATAGATAGATAGATAGATAGATAGATAGATAGATAGATAGATAGATAGATAGATAGATAGAATAGTTTTCATCAACATGAAGAAGTTATTGATTTAAAAAAGCCCCTCCTTGCTGAAAAGTTATAGACAGAAAAAGAAATGAATAAGAAAAAAATAATTCAAAGTTTTGCATTTTTACGTCAAAGAGACATTAAAGTTTGTGTCTAATGTTTCTGGATCCCATCTCAACCAGTGACGTCAGCCTTAATGGGTGAACTGGTGTTTTAAACTGGGCCTTCATCAGTGGAGTCACCATCCTCTGCACGTTTCTACTGAAGACCAGCCAAACGTTTCTTAAAGAAACAGCGCCATCTTCTGGTCGGAATGGGTAGCTGGCGCCTTAAGTAAAAAGGAAAACGTTCTCCTTTTTTGCCCATCCATCTGGTTTGATCTGAAGATGAAAGTTTAAAAGCTTTGAGTTATATTTAAATTGATGGACTCACAGCATCCTTAATGAAAACACAGAGGCTCATTTTGCGTTTCGCCCGGAGACGAGCGTGATGGATTCGTTTCATAAGCTCCGAGTCGCTCATGAGACAAACGTATTTTACTTATTTAAAGCTAAGTGTCAAAGCCACGCAACACGAGATGTTCCGGGAGATTAAAACCCATTAAAAAGCAAAATAAATCTGTGCAAAAACACTTCAAACTTGGCTTATAAAACAGGCCTGCAGAGCAAAAGCCGCTGCAGAACTTCTCTTTTAATCCGTCTTGGAAACAAAAGTTTTCAGAGTGAGATGAGTTTTACTAAAAAAAAAAATGGAACTACTGAGTTTGCTAATTGCTGCTGGCTAGTCTGAAGGAGCTGAGCGGGACAGCGTTCAACCAGGCATTTTGCACAGCTCGATCCTTGCTATGGAGAATCATGCATAAAAACATCAAGGCAACACTCCAGGTCTGTTATTGATGACATCATTTTATGATGTAAAACTCAAAAAGCTTCATTTGACATCAAACTGTCCCTTTATCCTTTAGCTGTGGGGTGAGTTCACAGCAGCACTTTTAGCTCTTTTTATGAGAATTGTGTTTATTGGAAAGAGTTGAACACACGGGTATGTGACATCATGCAAAGTGTGTGAAAATTTAGACTTTCATCCGTCGAAATGTCATTGAAGGTATCTTAAATTGTTATTTTTATTACTATGTAAATAAATTGAAATATCTTAGATTATTATTCAGGGTTTTCAATATAATTCCTCAAACTGACTGAACTGATTTTACGTCAAATCGGCTTGCCGTAGGTTCAGTTGTGATTAGATGAGGTCAAAAAATATTCCAGATGTTCTTTCCAGCTGAATTTCATGACAAAAACACAATTTTTTGTTGAATGATCTTTAAATTATTTCTCTGGACACCATTTTCTGGAGTTCAAAACCTGAAAAAGAAGTTTGCTGTTAGAAATGAAAGAAAGGGAAGCTGCTGGTGTGCATGTTGTGGGTTTATTGGACGGGAAGCATCTGCATGCTTCAGGCCGCTGTCAGGAGAGAGAACACATGCTAGTCCTCCAGCGGCAGCAGCAACGCACAGAGGAAGACGAATGACGGCGGATGTGGACGGTAATTGGCCGACTGGGCTGGAAGCTGAAGGATGTTCAGCCCTGCAGGAAGTCAGGAGAAACAAATGCTCCTCCTCAGATGCATTTCAGCAGGTAGGAGTTGCAGTTGCTGCCTCTTCCGCAGTCGCAGAGCTTCCCGATGCGAGGGCCAAACTTGACGGCACAGCGGCCCCCCGTCCCGCACTGAGGGGGACAGACAGGCGGGGACACATCCAAATTCAGTCAGAACTACATGATTCAGGCTGCAGCATCTATATCCAGTGTTTTGTTCTAGAAAGTTTCTGAGATTATTCTCATCATTTCTGAGCTTTTTTTAAAGGGGATTTTCATATTTGCTTGTTTCTTCTAGAAAATTTCTGTCGTTTCATTTGTTGTGAGGCAAATAATCTGTCAAAGACAAATCGATTTCCTCCACCTCCTTCCTGAATTACTATTACAGTCTGTAAAATGCATCGCTCCTGGTCAAAAGCAACCAATCAACACTAAGAGGTGGGTCTTAGCGCTGTCAATCACCCTACTGTACCCTGCTCAATGTACTAACTTACCGTCGCAGGGAAACTGTTTATCCGCCATCATCAGTGGCTATGCTAATTAGCCTTAGCATACGTAGCAGGCTATGTTATGATGAACTAGCTGAAGCATAAGAATGATTGACAGCGCTAAGACCCGCCTCCTTGCTCTGATTGGTTGTCAATAACAGTGCTGTATTTCTACAGCCAGTATTCAGAATTTCAACAATTATGCAAAAAACATTATTTTATAAAAGTTACATATTGCGGCTTTAATGACGTCTTTTATCATTTCTGTCTATTTTTTCAACCTTTGTTTAAACGTTGAAATGTTTTTTCTCTGAATAAATTGAAAGCATAAATCAGAAGAGGGATTATCAGCTAAACATTTTTCATCAGAATAATTAGATCCTGCTCATTAGCTCAAACTGAGCCTGTAGTTCCAACGCTGATTGATTTTCTGAGAGGCTTTCATGGCCTGAAATCAGGCTTGAATCTTTATTTGAGCTGTAATTACAGAGGACTGTTATCTTTTAATTAGTGGCAGCAGGTATGCTTTTCAACCGGCTTTTAACCAACAACGAGCAGAAAGACGTTTGCAGCACAGACTGACGACTCAGCAGACGTTATAAATGAGCAAATGGAAAGTTTAAAATCAGCTGCACTGCATCAGTTTAATGCAGGAAGCGTCGCTCACCAGCGGGATCATCCCTCGTTTCTCTGCGGACGAAACCCGGCTGTGGATCCGACCCAGCAGAACCTCCAGAGCTTCCACCTGCAAAACCAGCAACACAAACAGAAACACGACAACATGGCTCAGAGAAATTTATTTCCCTGAAGAGCAGAAAAAAAATGTAAAGACGATGTTATGGATTTGTTGTAAATTGAAACATTTTCCTCATTAACTCATTTGCCACTGACGTTCATTACTCTGCAAACGTTTTGTTGCAATATTTATATATTTCTCTGCATTTCTTGTATTTTACAGGAATATGTTACATTTCATGTTAAAAAGTTACATATTGTGGATAAATATCCCTTTTGTTTCTCTTCTTGTTTTCTTTAGACAAATTATTCATTATTATTCATCTCTTTTTTTGCTTTAGTTTGGAAGTTTATTGATTTATTGAATCGATATTTACAAATTAAATCTTTCTCCACAGTGTGATGACTTGATGTCTTTTCACTGCAGTGATTACTGAAGAGTTATTAGTTGAATCAGTTTCTTAATGGATCACATAATTGGGATGTGAGCTAATTATACTTTATTATTTTTTATTCAGATTGTGAAGTAAATATTTGTCATCCCATCTGTAATGCGCCTTTGGTCATTTTGCTGTTTTCATCCTGACAGTTTTTATTAAAAACAAGAAACTTGATGCAGACAGAGAAACCAGAGCAAATGAAATGATAAAACTATCAATTAAGATCAGTTTGAAAGATAAAGTTTACTTGTAAAGAATTAAAATATATTCATGCAAAATGTGGATTTTAAGACAAAACAACTTTAAGACAAGAAATCAACAACTCTGAAAATCAGATCACAAATAAACAATACTAATAATAATTTAACAAATTTCATGACATATAGACTTATCAGACTGCAAAACAGAACATTTTACCAAGTATTTATTTTATAGCTTTTAGTGCAAATATCACTTGAAATAACACAAAACTCTCTAAAAATTAACTTTTCATCAGAAATAGTAGCTCATTTTAAATTAATAACTGAAAAATACCAATTCAACTGGGAGATTATTTACTTTATATCAAGACATTTTATAAAGAACATAATCTGCCAGAGGATCCATTACTTTTTCATCAATATTAAATGTAATTATTGATGTAAAACAAGCTACCATGTCTTACTGAAAACTTACTTGTAAGTTAATTTTGTCTTGTTTCAAGTGAACTAAGAAGTTTGCACCAGAAACTAGACCAAAAATACTTGGTAAGATTTTGTGTTTTTGCAGTGTAAATAAATATTTGTGACGTTTATTTTCCTGTTGCTTTGCCACCATGCAGCTAAAATTCAACCTGAGAGGAGCGGAGCAGCGTTTCTGAAAAATAAGACAATGAATAAAAATCCAGCAATGTTTGCACTTCACACATTTTGCTTTATTTGAAAAACAGCTGAATTATTACAGCCACTGCAAAATCACAAAATCTCACCAGGTATCTTTGGTCCAGTATCTCAGTAAATAATCAATAAAACAAGACGAACTCACAAGTTATGATTCAGGAAGATATAAAATCTTGTTTTAAGTAAACAAATCCTTTAAAAAGTGGCAGATTATTTCACTTAGAGCGTCCAAAAATACTTTGTTCCAAGTGAGATAATCTGCCAGAGGAACGATGCTTTTATTATTTAATATTTGGTGTTTTTGGAGTCACTGACCAGGTCTGGGTCCAGTTTCTCATCCTGGAGGTCGTCTGGGGAGACGTCCGGTGGCGCCTGGCCGTGACACCGGAACCACAGCAGGCTGAGGAGCAGCAGCGCCTGGAGCAGCCCGGAGCTCTCCATGGTGCTGGAGGAGGACGAGGAGGAGGATGAAGAGGAGGAGGAAGGCTGCAGATCAGATGGAGGAGCGGAGGGACCCGGCCGTTTCCACAGCAGAACCTCTCTCTCTTGTTTTATGCAGAACGGTGAAGCTCCGCCTGGGAGAGGCCAAAGGAAAGAGACTCCAACACTGCAAAAACACAAAATACTGCCAAGTAACTTTGGTTCAGATTCTCCTGCAAAAATGTTACTTAACTCAGAAGTAACTTTTCAGCGAGATATGAGTGCTTGTTTAAGTTAATAATTCTTTAATATTGATGGAAAAGTTCTTGTTTCACTGGCAGATAATTTCACTTTTAAAATGAGAAAAATGTTTTGTTTCAAGTGAAATAATCTGCCAGCTTAGGAGAAATTGACTTCATAATTTAACATCTTGAAATTAGGCCTCTGTCTCTTTAAGAAGCTCTTGCTCTTTCTGAAACTCCGCCTTCGGAAGTCAACATGGCTCCTCCATTAACCCTTTAACAACGTTTTTACCAGCGTTGCTCTGAGCAGCAGCTCCACCAGGTGTTTGCTAATTGCTGCTGGCTAGTCTGAAGGAGCTGAGTGTGGGAGGAGCTGTGCGTCGAAGGCGGAGCTAAGTCCAACTAGATGCTTGGCACAACTGAAGTATTTAAGTTTTTAAAATGCAGCAACTGTGCAAGATGTGTTTATATTTTGCATCAGCGCTTATTTATAGATTTCTTTTCTACAAATGTCAAACTACACTGCAAAATGTTTTCCAATATAGCTGCTGCTAAGACAATACTCACACTGGTGGCAAACGCTGTTCCAAGAGAGTAAAGCTATTATCTGTCAGGTTTCGGTAACTCCCCCTTCACTCATGAATCATCAAGTTATAATCTCAAAAATGATATTTTAATCCTGGCAATTCTCACTGAGCTAAAATAAAAATAAATTTGGTTTAATTTATCTTCAATTACTGAGAAAAAGAAAATATGTGTCTTTTTATCTGGTGTATGTAAATTTCAGATTTTAACTATTAAATATTTTTTGTAATTTTTGTATAATGAGGTATGACACATTGATATTTGTATTTTACCCTGAATGAGAGAAAATCCTACTATAGATTTAAATCTATTTAACTTATTATTTATTTAGTATGTAAAAATAAATTAATACGTAATTAAATATACAAAGAATATTGAATTAGTTAATATTTCTTGTATATTTAAATGTATATTTACAAACACAAATAGAGTGTAAATCTAAATAAATATAATTTGCATTGGTTAAACTGTAATGCATTATTATATTACTGGATTTAATTTATTAACGGGATGGACTTATTTTTACTGAAAGCAGAGTTACTTCACATTTATGTCCTGTTGTTGGACTTTCACTAAAAACAAAACAAAATGTTTTATGTTGGTCAAATGTAACTTCAGGACGTTTTGTGGCGCAGTTCGCGTGATGAGCAGCAGGGGGCGCTGCTCCCTCAGCCGCTGCGCGCCGTTGTGTTTCCTGAAACGCAAACTTCAGGATTAAGAACACACCCTGCTGCAGTGACATCAGTGAGGTTAGAAGAAGCAGAAAAAAAACAGAGTCTCCGTTCAAACTGCAGAAGAGGAAACCAGAGGCCCGACGGGTCCTGAACGGGGTTCTGTCGGAATTTGGCGCAGCGCAGAGTCTGGGAAGAGCGGATCAATTCGTGCGCAAAGTTTGAAATCTTCTTGAGAGGCTTGTGAGCCGAGGAGCGCGAAGAGTTTCTCTGAACGGGAGGATGTCAACTTCAGACGACGTAGACGGGCAGCGGCCGAGATATGGCTGTAAGTTTCTGACTCTTTGCGCTTCTTTTCTAATGATTCTGCGCAGTTTTCAGACTCTTGTGGCGCAGAGCGGAGCCGCTTGGCGCTGCAGCTCGTTCCCTCCTCATGCAAACTCTGAGCAGATCCCCTAAAAGTGTCTCCAGCCCTCCAGTTGGGCTTTTACCTCTGACAGCGTGTTCGCCGCTTTCTCACCACTTCCGCGTTTCCTCCGCGGCAGCGCGCAGGGAGGAGGCCCGTTTCTCACTCTGCACAACTTTTACTTTACAAGTTTTTCATTTTTATGGATTAACTTAATACTGACATGAATCAGGATCAGTTTCCCAGTGACCACCGCGCGCAGGCCACCAGCTGGCGACGTTTGGACAAAATGAATGAACTGATCCTCATTTCTGCCGGTTCCACTAATAAAACATCGATATTCCCACATTTATCGATTACAACTTCATAACACACGTTGGAAGCCAACCTTTGTTTCGCTTTTGGTGACATTTTGAAGTAATTTCAGCTCCTTTTTCAGCTCCAGTTAGTTGCTACTCCTCTCTCCTTCATCCCACTTTGAACATGTGTGGTGAAACATTTTTGGCTTCCAGCCCAAAAATATTTTCCTTCACTTTAATTTGGGTTTTAAAAGCTGCAGTGTCACTGGCACACTGTAAAATCACAAAACCTCATCAAGTTTTTAGTGTAAACATGTTCAAAACGAACTTATTGGAGTTTGTTCCTTAATATCCTCAGAAAGTAAATAGTAAGTAGATTTTGCATCAATATTAAGGAATTACTCACTTAAATGAAACTTATATAAGTTACTTTAAGTTAGTTTGGTCTTATTTAAAGTGTACTTCGATATTAGCTTTAGAAACTAGACCAAAATACTTTATAAAATGTAGTTTTTACAGTGTGATAACTGAAAATGTAGCTAAATTTAAACAGTTTTAGTTAGGAATATAGTTTATGGTTTCTGATGCTTTTTTGGGGGTTGAATCTGATGTTTTCTTGCAATTAGGTAACTGAATTGTATTAAATCTGCTAAAAGTAGAGATGAACTGTTAATTGTTTCAGGAATCAGTTCTGCACTGCAAAAACTAAATCTTACCAATGACCTTTAGTCAAGAATCCACTGCAAATATCTTAGATCACTTTTAAATAAGACAAAACAAACTTACAAGTAAAAAATAAGAGCTTGTTTTAACTAAAGGATTCTTTAATATTGATGTTAAAAGTACAAGTTACTTGTAACTTTGGTTAAAATGCATTTTCATAATGAAATAATCTTCCAGTGGAACTAAAACCTTTTCACCAAAATAAAGAATTTTTTTAACTTAAAGCAAGTTCCCTGTCAGTTAGTTTTGTGTTATTTAAATGTTCTGAAATGTCTGCAGTAAAATTCCTGGTAAGGTTTTGTGTTTTTGCAGTGCATGAGGAGCCCTGACGTGTGTTGACTGGTAGATGACTAATTGATGAGGTCGGTTTCTTGTGCAAGATGTTCGGACGAACCTCCTTCCTGGACGCTCTGTTATTGTTCTGTTTAAATTAAATAACCATGAACTGACTGGAGATTCACTCCACAGACCAGAACTGGACTCATTTCTCTGATTTCTCCTGATATTGTGAGGAATCGACTTTTATTCTTGGTCACTGAATGCAGAAAAACTAAAAACTATAAATATTTTGGGTTAAAATGTAACTTTGATGCATCGTTTTTCTGGCTTTAAAGAAGGCTGGGATGATAACCTTGACTAAAAACATTGTGTTCCCACAATATTATCACAAAAAAGACAAAAATGAAAAACAGCATTTCTGCAGCGAAGTCGACTTTTCAGTAAAAGTCTCTGGATAAACTTGGTTTGACCTTTTGTTAAAACTTGGTTGTGTTTTTCTGATACAAATGACGTTGATGACAATTTTTACCCTGATTACAAAGTTTCCGTCTGCGGGGAAAAGTTATATCATTTTTGAATTGCAGTCAGGGGCCCCACAAAATGAGTCCGGGGTCCACAAAAGGCCCGCGGGCCTCACATTGGACCCCTGCATGTTTCACACGCTGTGCTCTGTGTGCAGCCGTCCTGGATGGCGTGGAGCGGCTCACGGCGGAGGAGATGGACGAGCAGCGGCAGCAGAACATGGCCTACGAGTATCTGTGTCACCTGGAGGAAGCCAAAAGGTGAGAGGCTGCTGGTCCAGAACCAGAACCGGAACCGGTGTGTTTCATTTCCCACCAGCCTTTCTGTGACTTCTGCAGCCATGAAGGCGTAAAGCCACATGAGACGACTCTGGTTTGCACCAAAACATGGAGAGAATTTAGTTTCTCTGACAGAATGATAGAAACTGAATTGGTGCTGAATGACGGCAGGATGTTGGTTTTGGGTTTTCTGGTCTCCATCGGTTCATCGGAGTTGATGGAGATTTCAGACACGGATCGTTTATCCATTATTGTGATAAATTTGTTACTATAATGACAGTTTTGATTTATTGTCACAGAATTTAAAAATATGATTAAAGCAGTTTAGTGGTAAAGTCACATTCTCGTTATAAATGTGAACGTTGCTGATGTTGGACATTTATTGTATCATTTATTATTCATCATGATAAATTTCATTTGATAAGAATTTTGATTTATTGTCACAAAAATATCAAATTAATTGTTTAAAGGCCCCAAAACGCCGAATGGATGATTTTACAATTTGTTTCCATCATTTGTTCAATTAATAACCAATAGATTTGAAAATATAATTAAATGCATTTAAGATTTGCAGTTTAATGATCTTCATGCGATTGGTGCACTAAAAAGACATTTTGCAAATGGTTATTTTGCTGATTGAATTGCGATTGATGGATATTTAAAAACCCTCCAAACTGTCCAAATTATTAACTTCACTATTTTTTCCCACCGTTTCTTCAATGAAAGTATCAATAAATGTGAAAATCCGACTAAATGCATTTAAGTTTCCCATGTTAGTGATGTGAATCAAAAGTCTTTATGGGACTGGTGTCTTAAAGAAGCAAATGGGAATGTCTTTCCAGAGCAGTATTTGTGTTTGTGGGGCTGTATTTACTGTGACACACAGTCACAACCACAAAAGATCGAGAGAAAACTTTACATCCATCTCAGATTTTTTTTTTTTTACTTTCATGCTGGATTTGATGCAAACTGGAAATCTGTGCAGTTCAGATCAATGCCTCTGATCAGGTGCTTGGTGTGAAATTCTTGATCTATATCTGTAAAAATCAAACGTTGGTTTCAGATTTGAAATGTGGAGGAAGCTGCAGCGAAAGAGAACGAGCGTCACGACTAAAACCTGCATCTCACCGTTTCTTCTGTGCAGCTCAGTGAAGTAAAAACTTTTGCAGTTGTGCAAAAATGAAAACTTTTTTGAAAACAATCTAACAGGATAGAATCTAACAGGATAGAATAAATTTTCTTGCTGACATATTTAATCTATCCAGATTTTTTTTCTTAAGAGGGAATTCAGGGTGTTCAAAGAGAAACAAAGCTGTGAGTAAAGTATAAAAGCTCTGAATCAGTGGCTGATTAAGGTGGAGTCATACTTTGGTTTTTATCCCCAGGCAGGAAGTTCTCAAATATTTACGTCACCAGGTTTTGGACTTAAACTGCAAAAAATCTTAGTAAAGTTGAAATGAGACAAAATTAGTTGAAAAGTAACTTTTCAGCAAGATGCAGGAGCTTGTTAGATTAATTTCTTAATATTGATGAAAAATAATAATTTCACTTATAATCAGGGTGTCTAAAGTGCGGCGCAGGGCCGTTTAGGTTCCTCTCAAGGCGTCCAAACTCAAAAATAAATATCTGAAATGAATATATGAGATATAAAAACAGATTCTCATTTATTAGCAACGACTCTGTATTAATTTGGAGCAACTAGAACCACAAACACCAACCGACTTTTACCCAAACGCAAAATTCAGAAAATAATCAGCCCCACAGGTTAGAAACCAAATGCAATTCTGCAAAACCTTTTTATGTTTTGGTCAAAAATCTGACTTTAATTAATTATTGAGCAGATAAACTGAAAAAGTTAGATTTGAAATGCATTTTGAATCGAAGTGCTTTAAACGAAACCATTTCGGGCGTCGATTTTGTGTTTCTGTGTTTTTGCAGTGCACTCACGTCTGTTGCTGCTGGTTAATGTCTAAGTTTTGACGCGATTAAGTTCTGACATTAATGGACTCAATCCAGAGCTGACGGTTTGATTCTTCCTGTGGGAAATCAAAGTTTCTTCTCTTTCACTGCGTTTGAATCAGGAGCTTAAACAAACTCTGTTCTGTTTTAATCACATTCGATTTAGTGTTTCAGAAAACCTTTCATTGTGTTGCATGAAAAGTCTCTTTCAGGGATGTTTGATCCTCCCTCTGTTGTGTTTCTGAATTCAGAGTTTATTGTATTGACACAAATAAATGAAAACACAGTAAATATCAAACCTTTAATGTAGAAAAATGGAACCGATGATTCTTTTTCAAATCAATATTAAGGAATTATTGACCTGAAACAAACTCCTAAATCTTGATGGAAAGTTATTGTTAGTTTTGTGTTAGTTCAAGTTCATTAAGATATTTGCACTAAAATTAGACCAAAGATAGTTGGTCAGATGTAGTTTTTGCAGTGCATTCGATTGCAAGCCCAGTTTCTTCTTTTTTTCCTGAATATTTTCTCACATTTCTCCCTGAGAAGTAAATGTTACGGTTCAGCAGATACCTTAAGATGTTCATATTTCATGTATTTAAAACCAGCCTGATGCTGAACGGGTCCAGCAGTGAGTGATGAAGTAGGCGCGGCCGGTTCTGTGTCTGCGTGCCGGCGGCTCCGGCGGCAGACGCAGTCGACAAAATATCGGCAGGTTCAAAAGAGGAAGGATCACACGAGACAGGAAGTGACTCAGCCCTCGCTGATTTATTCCCCCCCCCCCCGACACACACACTGTCGCCACAGGAACCCGAGGTTGCCGTGGCGACAGGTTCCGGTGCAAGCCGAAGGCTGGCGTTGCGAAGCGTGTTGAAGAAGAAAAATGGCGGATCCGTCGCCTGCTGGCCTGTTATCGTCCATCTGCGACGTTCAGGAAATCCCTGGATGATTCGGTTCATCCGGTTTCCCTCCGGCTGAAGCCGAGTCGTTTTCCTGCTCCTGGAAAACCCTGCAGGAACTCTGAGGGAAATTATCATCACTCCATCTTCATGCTTTGTGTAAATTGGGCCATTTCCTGACCAAAGTAGGAATAGAAAGAAAAAAAAATCACATTTCACACAGCATTGTGATTTCTGAGATTTGTTTCTGTGCTCCATTTGCTGCTGCAGGCGCTAGAAATGTCTCAACTTTAGGATTAAGACATAAACCTCCACAGCTGCTCACTTTTTTTTTTCTTTAAAAATTTGTGAGAAATTGTTGTGATGGCGTTTTCTGTCGATGAAAATGTGGAAGTGCACAACAGGAAGGAATTACGTCTGTTACGTCTGCACTTCAGTTTTCATTGAACAAACCCATATGAGGCTCTGCACTGCAAAAACACTAAATATTACCAAGT